GAGGGGGGGGTTGGTTTCAGTTTCAAAAAAAAAAAAAAAAAAAAAAAAAAGCATAAAGTGGAAAACACAACCTAGGACTTCCCTTCTAAGATTTCCTTTCCTAAATAAGCTTGAGAAAAGATGCAGCATGCCTAGCGTGGTGTCTCCCATACAGCAAGTGATCGATGTACCAAAGCAGAGTATGTATCCATTCCTAATGCCTGGTTAGTAGCCAGACTTTAGGTTAGTGTCCATTTGATAGATCTGGGCTTTTTATTGCACTGAATACTGGAAAAGGTAAAGAACATTTCACATGAAGCTTTCTTTTTCAACAAAATCTTTTAAAGTTGTTCTGTTTTTAAAGAAATAGTACTTAGAATGGAAGTGGTAATTAAATGCATCAATTGCTCTGTTCTCTCCAGTTGGCATCAGACAGCAGTTTGCAAGCAGAGTGCCAAAGCATTTAGTCTGAAGTCTAAAAATTAGATGATTTCCACCATAGTTGATGTATGAGAATCATAGAAGAATCATTTTCCTGCACTGCAGTCTCTGGGTATTTGGCAAGGTACAATTTAACTATAGCCTTCTTTGAACTTTCTTTCTTTGAAGCAACAGGTGTTTGGCTCAGCTGGGAAGAAAGTACAGTCACGTTCACATTCTGCCCTCAGAATGGCAAATCTAAATGAAACCTACTGCACACCAAGGATCTCCATACAGCCTGCTTTGCAAACACCTTTCTCATCACTGCAGTATTTTTAATTTTTCCTAACAGACTCTCAAATTAGGGTGTCTTAAGATAAAATTGCTACATAAACATGAGTAGGTGAAAAGTTCCTCAGTGAGAGAGTGACTGTGAGGAGAAGTGTTAAAGGTCTTTGTCTTGCCCTGCATGCACAAACGATGCAGACCAAGCTAGTAGTCACAGGGAGGAAAGCGCAGCTTGCCAAACACAGCTCAGCACCCTCCACATCCCCAAAGGAACTCAGAGCTTTCCCAAAGCAGGTTAACAGCAGAAAGACAAACATCTTATTTCAAAAGCCTGGAAGAGTAAGACACTGTGTAACGAGAAACTACAAAAAATAAAACCCACTGAGCAACAGGTCCTTGGCTGGATGCGTACTTCATTTTGGTAATACTGTACCTACTTGCTTCTCTGTCACAAACAAGTAAAAGTTCACACTGGAGAAATGACATTCAAATTATCTCATTACCAATGTATTTTCTGAAATGGTTTCAAGGCTAGTATGTGTTTCCCAAAATAATGAAATTTGAATGTAAAAAACTGAAGACAATTTATTTCAAACAAAATCACCAAAGTACATGCTGATCACAAAGTAGAGGGACACTCAGCCCAAGGCAAGGCAGGAGAGACGGCTCACCAGTGCTGTAGGCTGTTGGCATTGCGGAGTACACGAGTCCCTGCGGAGGCAGGCTTGGGGTTGTCACAGACACTACGGGGGTAGCAAGGGGCTGAGTGGCTTGAGAACTGCTTATCCTTTGGGTATTCTGTGAGACATCAGAAAAGAGAAAAAGTGTTACCATGCGGTATTTATGTTCAGACTTAATATTTTAAAAATAACTTTTAATTTAAATGTGATGCTTTTCACAGCTTTATGTGAATATCATTATTTTCTGTAGCAGTCATGCTACAAAAATCTTAAAAATACTAATGGGGCTAATTTAAAGGCACCTATTTTTGCATTAATTATTCATCTCCCCTTTCTTTAATAGTTTACTAATGCCAGAATCACCCCTCAAAATAGAAACTTACCTTATGGGTGATAACACTTTTTTTTTTGGTACCAGGGATAGAACTTGGGCCCTTGCGCTTGCAAGGCAGGTGGTTGAACCACTGAGCCAAATCCCCAGCAGGTGATAACACTTTTATGTGTTAGTATAATGAGGACTTAATGTCATTACAAAGACTGTCAGGCTATGGTGACAACAAAAGTCATCTGTACATACATAAATTGTAAGTTCAGGATACAGGAACATTTATGTATTAATGTGGCTGGAAGTGCAGCTTATATTTTGCTTTGCTTCCCTCCAACCCTAATGATGACCTATTTTTAACCACTGGTTCAGATATGTATCCCTTCATTCTCCCCATCTTTGGAACCAACAGGCTTTGGGCAGAGAGCTTTTGAAATACAAGAAAAAGTGATGGCTTGTAACTGTATTTAGAAGCCTAAGCCAAAACACAGAATCATTTAGTGCCCTTAGTGAAGAAGCAGAACATGGACAGTGTCCACTGTCATTGTTTCCAGAAAGACCTGAGATGAAGACCTTAAACTAGATCTAGATTCTTGGAATCTAATGAGAATAGATTTGTTATTTTCTTTTCAGTTCATTTTTATTTTCTACTGCAAGTTAGAGGATGTCAGAAAGACTATATGGCATGTGGATGTATTGCCTGAGTTCCAGTCCCAGAGTCACCACTTCCTAAGCTCAGGGACAATCATTTAACTTCTCTAAACGTCTAAATTTTTCATGTTGGGATGATAGAAATCTTTGTCCTGCCTGCCTTGCAGTGCTACTGTGAAAATAAAATGAAGTGATATGCAGGAAATGTATGGGTAACCGAAATACTACAGGAATGTGAGAAAATATTCTCAAATGACTGTCCCAAGAAACCTTGTATAATCAAATTTTTATGTAACTGATGATAAAAAAGTGACAGGTATATTTATCCCTTCTGATCCACAGGTGTTCTCTTAGAGCCTTCATGAGGTAAAGTTTCGCCACTCTAGAAATGCAAGGCTCCTAAAGGGATCTGTAGCCTGGCTCACTTTAGAAAACACCTTGGTACAAGTCTGAGGGGACTTGCACACCTGCCTTCCTCACTCTGAAATGCAGCCATCTATGATTTTTTTCTTTAGAGCTCAAACCAATTTAAACTAACTTTTCAGTTTGACAGACTGTTTCTGATTCTGTTTGAGTCCAACACATAAAGCTCTGCATTTTGAATTAACTTAGAATGTGAATTAACTTAAATCTTAAAGTAATACCAATGGCTATTTACAGTTCTCAGCCATGTCTATCTTTTTGTTTGTTTGTTTTTGGTACCGGGGATCAAACTCAGGACCTCACGACTGCCAGACAGGTGCTATGCCATTGAGCTACATCGTGACCCCATGTCTTTCTTTTTTAAGTCACAGATATTTATTTGAATTTTTTTAATTTAAAAATTTTGTTTTTCCTTTTTTGTTGTTGCTGTTGATTGGCTCTTGAGATGGCTACACCACCATATTTTAATGATTTCTAAATTTAAAGTCTTCATAAATTTATCTCTGAGGTTCTGTAATTACAGGTGTACTTTAAGAAAAATGGAAAGTCAGTGTATGAAAACCGGAAATACAGTGCATTTTAGTCTCAGAATCAAGTTAATGTTAATGACTTTTTTGAGACAGGGATCTGTTTTGGACTTTGGAATTTGCTCTTTCGTATTTGGTATCTAGGCCACACATGGTGAAAGAGTGCAGTACGAGATGGGTTGGTCTGGGCTCTGCCACACGCTGGCAATCTCCAGGCATTCTAATACACCAGCCAATCTCAGGAGCCCTGGCTTCCATGAGTAAATGACTTTCAGAACCACTAGAGGGCAACACAGCTCTAGATAATTCCTGTAAGCATTCAGTACTTCTTAAAGGTAAACAAATCTAATGTAAGATGGACTATTTTGGTTTGAATTATTCACTTCATTTGCTAATAATTATGATATAATTAAGAATATTTCCCCAAAATATGCTCATAATACAACACGGGGCTAAAGTATTTCAGTTAATCAATATAAAATCACATCCAAAACTGTGATAATGATCGCAAAGCTAAATAACCTAATATCTTAAGTATAGCAGTCATATTTGAAAAGAAAATACACTTCTCAAAACACACTAGCATGCACAAATGTGTAATAATAAAATATAAGTAAAACCAACTGATGCCTTTACCCCATGCTCACATGCACTCAACCCCATCCATGCTAAAAACTGTGCTTTCAACTTTTTATTCCCCTTAGAATCACCTAATTAACAGATGACTCTGAATGCACATGATTACTTCTGTAAAGTCTAGGTTATAGTTCCTAAAGAAGAAATAGAATAGCTGCAAGTTATTTTTACTCAGGTTTATTTTCTAGAGGAAAAGCCAATAGAAAACACTTGTGGAGAAAAAAATTAACAGATGCTTATAAGAACAGAGTATCTTCGGATAGAAAAGTAAATTTGAGTATGTCCAATTACAGATATTCCTCTTAGTAAACAGGGAACCCCCTTGTGGTTCAGACTGTCTCATGCAGCATGAAATAATTCCAACTCTGAAAAAGGTGACCTCACCAAAAATGACATAATCTTTTTGAAAGAAATAACACAGGACTGTGTTACAATCTGAGGAACTTTGAGGGTGAAGTCATTTTCTAAAAATATTTTAATAATTTGGAAAGCTATATAAGGTATTTTGGATCTTTGCTTTAAAATATCTTTAACAACTACCCTGTGCTCATGGACAGCAACTGTTTTTAAAGGCTGTATTGTAATGTTCCCTCCAACATATAAATTCTAAATAGAAAAACTGGAATCTGCAGTACCAGTAGATTGCTTTCATAATACAAAGCATTTGGACAGTGTTTTTACACAAGTATCTTTGTAACAAAAGAACATAGGTTAGATAAAAACATTTAACAGAATTAGTACTTTCTACTTCTTTTTCAACTCCCTTCAAGCAAAAACCCCCACTCACCAACTCCAATTCCTCTTCCTCCGACTGTACTCAGCACATAAGAGGGATAAGAGAGTTACTAAGACTGTTGATACTTGCAACAAAGTATTTCTTTAGAAAGACATGGTTTTAGGACCCTAGCATTCCTTTGGAACTCTACAGAGATCATAACACACACAACAAATAGAAACTACTTGTTGTCTTTAAACTTGTAGCTGATTTTTAATACCAGAAAATTCTTTAGGGCCAGGATTTATTAAAGAGCACCCCCCATCTGCTCTTACCCCCGCCTCTGCTACACAGTCACACTTCTGCAACATTTAGATAGTTTCCTAATCATGACAACAGTTTGTATTTGAAACCACGAACATACTCTGTATGTATTAAATCTTAATCCTCCCATCACTGCCCACCAGGTCAAACATGTCCATGCATCTCCTGGCTAGACTGTTCTCCCTGGTAGGCCCAGAAGTGTGGTATGCTTTATTTCCCATATAGCCAGACCAGTGTTATGAACCAGGAACTTAAACATCTGTCAATAAATAAAAGTTTTTTATACGTTAATTATTTGCAGGTAAAAGTTCACATATTAATAAAATAATTTTAATGGAGAGAAATCCTGAATATGAAAAAAATGAGATGAAGACAAATGAACTGATAAATGAACAGGAGAGAAAAGAAACATTTGCTCCTTTTCTTTTAAACACTTATAAAATATGCTAGACACAATCTACTCCTTAGGTGTTTTTTTCCTTCACTTTAATAGAGTTTTAAGTTTCTTTGTCTGTGAAGCCTCTTCACTGATACAGGAAGTCCTAATTTTGAGGCCGGTTTTTCTGCAAATGAATGGGGAGAAAGGAAGGAGGCTGCCTGCAAAACATCATTTGGCCTATACTTGCTGCCTCCCTGAGGCCAACAGGAGCCTTAGCTGCTGTGTTGCATATACATCATCACTGCATAGCTCCAATTACAAGATGCACAAGGAAGTACCATACTGTTGAACACCATGGCTATGCTTGTATAAAACAGTTTTCACTTTAACTTATAGGGATCACAGTTTATATGGCAAGTTTTCTGAAAAAGGGCTTCATTTCTTTAAAAAAAAAAAAAAAGACTGGTTATAATTTTATCACTCAGTTTCCTAATGTCTAAATGCAGTTTATTAAACATTGCAATTTAGTAATAGTTTTTACAAATCTGTTTGTACCTTTACTAAATGAAATTTCATGATTAAAAAAAATTTTTTTTTCTAAAAGGTAGTAGCAGGTATTGAACATTTGGCTCCTAAAAGTAAGACAAAATGTCTCTCTTTTGGAATGCATTTCTTTGTTGTGTGTGTGTTGTTTTTTTTGAACCGGGGGTTAAACTTGGTTCCTTGTGCTTGCAAGGCAGGTGGTGGAACCACTGAGCTAAATCCCCAGCCCTCTCTATTTTAAACATTTTATTCTGATATAATTTTAGATTCAGAGAGCAGCTGTATAGACAGCTCGCTCACATTCTTACCTAGCTTTGCCCAAGGTTAATAGCCCAAAGAAACAAGATACAATAGCCCCCCCTGGGGGGGGTGGTTCTTCACAATGAGCTACATCCCTATTCCTTTTTTATTTTTTGATTCTGAGATGGGGGTCTTGCTAAATTGCCATTCCTGGACTCAAACCCATAATCTTCCTGTCTCAGTTTCCCAAAGTGTTAGGATTATAGGTGTGTGTTATTTGGCACTTTTGGAGAACACTACTCAGGTATCCTGTAGAATGCCTCTCAATTTGGGTGTGTCTTATGTTTATTCCTTGAGAGAAGGCATGGACTTTTGAACGACTATCACAGAACTATGTAATCTTTTAGCACACCATAGCAGAAGGCATGTCATCTTTTTTGTCTAATACTAGTGATGCTAACCTTGACTAAAGTAAGGGAGTGTGTATTATTTTTCCCTTTGTAAGAAACAAATATTTGAGGAGAGACATTTTGAGGCCGTATAAATATTGTGTTTCACTTTAAACTTTCACTAATTGTAGCATTTATCTGTTGGCTTTGCCTGCAACCAGTGCCACTGTACTGTGGTGTTCTATGTGGTTACCATTCCTCTTATTCTTTTCTCGTTTATTAATTAGAATTTCTCCCTAAAGAAGAGCTGTTATTTATTTTATCACATATCAATAATGGACCCTATTATTCCTTGGGTTATAAGCCAAAACTATTATTTATTTTGTTACTCAAATTGTTCCAGTTTTGGTCACTGGGATCTCTTTTGGAAGGCTACCTCCTGTGACCTTTTGATAGGCACTTTCTTATTCTTTGCTGCATCTTGCTCACCTTGTATTTCTCCAAGCCAGTTCTAAAATTAATCTCTTCTCCATGGGGCCCCAGTTCTCTGAATTAGAAGATGGTGCTTAAGAACTAAAATCTGACCATTCTCAGACTACTACTGGGTATCATTACTTCAAATGCCTCTCTGCACATAGAGCTAGGAAATATATGATTTATACCAACTGATGTGTATTACTGAGCCTTCCTTTTTTATCGCTGAGTAGTATTTCTTTTTTGGATGAACCAAACAAATATATATCCATTCACCTGCTGCAGGACATTTGGGTTGTTCTCAGTTTTTCAGTTACAAAAAACATAGGAAATTACCTAAATACAGTTTTTATATCACTGAGGTAAATACAAGAGACACTGTTGGGTCATATGGCAAGTATATATCTAGCTTCACAGAAGTTGCTAACTCTTCCAAAGGGACCGTATCATGTGCAACTCAAGAAGGGATATATGAGTTGTTGCTCTGCATTTTCAACAGCACTTCATTTTATTTTTAAGGTTTTAGCCATTCCAATAGATGTATAGTCACTCACATCTGATTGTGGTTTTAATTTTCACTTCTCCAATGATACTGAGAATATTTTCGTATGGTTGTTACATATATTGCTTTCTTCTTGAAGTATCTGTTAATATCTTGTTGCTAGGGGTGTAGTTCAGTGATAGAACACTTGCCTATCATGCATAACAGCCTAATTCAATCCTCAGCACTGCCAAAAAAGAAAAAAAAATCTTGTGCTCACTAAAAAAATTTAGGTTGTATTTTGTCTTGAGAGCTCTTTATATATTACAAACATAAGCCCTGTATTTGTATACATGATTTGCAAATACTTTCTCTTAATTTGTAGGTTTTTAAATTCTTTGAATAGCACCTTTCATAAAGCAAAACAAATTCTCATGAACTCTAATATATTGATTTTTTTTCTTTATAGATCATGCTTTGGTGTAGTTATGTTTAATTCTGTAACATTCACAGTTCCACATGTTAAATTTGGGTCCAGGATGCATTTTGAATTGTTTTATAAAAGGTGAAAATATGTATTAAGTTTTCACTGTTTTACATATAAATGTTGAATTTTTCCAATACCATTAGCTATAAGCTACTTTTTCTCCACTGAACTGTCTCACTTACTACCTTTGCTAAACAGCTGAATACTGTAGTATTTATATGCAATTATTTTCCGGGCTATTTTGCCCCTTGATCCATGGGCCCATTCTTTTGCTAATACTTTACATCCTCAGTTACTGCAGCTTTACAGGAGGTCTTCAACTCACACAGTCTTTCTGTTTGGTTCTTTTTCAAAATTGTTTTGGTTATTATTGTTTCTTTGCCTTTCTGTATATTTTAGAATTAACATGATTTCTACAAAAAAGCTTGTTTCAACTGTGATTGTATTGCGTTTGATTTACAGATCAATTTGAGAACTGACATCTTGACAATACTGTTTTCAAATCCTTTAACATAATGCATCTTTCATTAGGTAAACTGATCTCTTTTAATAGTGTTGTGTAGGGCTAGGGATTTAGCTCAGTGGTTCCACCACATGCTTTGCAAGCACAAGGACAAGAGTTTGATCCCCGATACAAAAAAAAAAAAAAAGTGTTATGTAGTTTTCAGCATATACACTGAATATATATATTTTATTACATCTGTACTTTACTATTTATTTTTTTTGGGAGATGGTGCTATGTTAAATTTCTAATTTGAATTATACAGTGCTGGCATAAGAATACAACAGATTTCTGTGTATTTACTTTTCTTAACTGTACTGGCGAGGGCTTCTAGTACAATGCTGAATGTGTATACCAATTAAAAAACAGATTGAATGTTTTCCCCTTATCAGTGTATTATCAATTAAAATTTTTGTAGATGCTCCTTATCAGATTGCTCCTTTCTATTCCTAGCATCAGAGTTTTTCTTAACATCATAAACAAATGTTATATTCTAACATGGAGGAATTATATTGGTGAATTTTGAAATGTAGAATCACTCTTGCATTCCTGGGATGAAACCTACTTGGTCTTAATATACACCCTGTTTATATATTGCTGAATTTATTTAATAATATTTCGCTGAGGCTTCCTATGCGTAGAGTTCATGAGGGATACTGGTTTGTAGTTGTCTCGTCCTTATTCTGATTTTTTTAGCCTGATGAAATGAGTTTGAATGTGTTACTTCCTAGGTTTCTGAAAGAGACTACAGAATTAGTATTAATTTTTCCTCAAATATTTGACAGAATTGGTCAATGAAACCATCAGGATCTGGAATTTTCTATTTTGGAAGTCTTTTAAACTAGGAATTCAATTTCTTTTATAGATATTTAAGATTAAAATTAACTATCAGAACTTCAGTGAGTTTAGTAACTCTTTGGTAGTTTACATCTTTCAAAGAATTTGCCTCTTTTACCAATGCTATCAAATATGGCAGAAAAGAGTCATAAAGTACAGTATTCTTGTATTACCATTTACTATCTTTTGGATATGCCCTTTTTCAATTCTTGATATTGGTAACCTGGGTCTTCTCTTTTCTTCACTCAGCATGGTTACAGGCTTCTGACTGGATCTTTTCAACATTAATTTTTGGTTTGATTCCCATCTACTGTTTTTCTGTTTCTAATTTTATTAATTTGCTTTTTCTTTCCTGATTGCTTTCAGTTAAATTTGTTCTTGCTTTTAAAGTTCCTCAAGGTAAAAGCTTATACTGCTGATTTGGGACCTTCTTTCTTTTC